AGCTTCCACCTCCTCCTCTAGAATTGGGGTTGAGCGCACTGACTGATGTGGCGTGTGGACTCCTGTTGCACGCATGTTCAATAATAAGCTTAAAATAACGCTAATGCACGAGAGTTCCTAGGCCTTAATTACCTCACTGGAGAACAATGACCCATACATGCACGCCTCACCAAAGCTTTGCTGATTAAACGTGTACGGTAACTCCATTTATACTGCGCCTGACGGCGCAAGCTACTTCTCTGTAGTTTCCCTTGACAGAGATCTGTCAGCACACGGTTTGCATGGCGTTTTATCAGTCACTCCTTTCTCGCCCTGCAAGTTATCATAGTTATTCTCCTCGTTCACTCGGTTGTTCTCCAACGCTTCGTAATCCTCCGCCTTAGCGTACAGTTTCTCCCATCCTCTGGGCTGTCTTAATTCTCCGCGTTGCTTCTAGGTGGCCGGCGTCATCCTACACTCTGCGCTCATGTCCGGTCTGCGCGTAGTTTGCCCCGGTACCACTCGACGCTTCTGCTTCGATCCCTTTACTAAGTAAGTGTTTATTTTTAATTTTCGTGTGCGTGTGTGTGTGTGTCCTATCTGCTGCCGATGTCGCCTATCTGACCTCCCTCCCCACTATCCAGCTTACTGTGCCTATCCATAAATCCGGCCATTACGCCGGCCGAATCAAAGACCACAAGGCGGCTGCTCGTTCTCTATCCTTCCGCGTTACTATGTACGCTCTCGTCTTCCCAGCAGTTTGCGCCACCCCGACTTTTCTCAGTTGCCGTCGATGTTTAGCAACGCTGGTTTCTGGGAGGTTAGGGTGGTTTACCTTATCGTCCGTCTGATCTTCTTCCCCGTTTATAGTAATCGTCTATTTACAACTCAGAGCCACGACAGGACTTGCTTCATGTTGTTTCCTGACTCTGTGTTTGTGAGTAGATGATCAAGTCTCACCTCTCGGATGCACTCAGTTATCGAATTTTGCTGCGAATCCCACTAGGTTTCTTCTTCATGCTCTTTAAATAAGTGGTTTTAAGTCTGGCATGCTTTATGTTAATTTTAACCGTAACTGGTGATCGGAGTGATGAACGTAGGCAAGATGGAGCAATCAGAAGTTCCCATTCTCACCAACCCTCGTTCTCTCAATGCTCCGGTAGCCAGATGCTGGACCTTGTTATTCCCGGTGTAGCGGTTTATGCGACAACTTGTCCGTCATACGCGACCTGGACTGGCACCTGGGACGTGCACTGCACGGAGGGAGACTTGTACTGCGTCGTTCTCACTCTCTTCTCGCCTTCATCGTCTCTCACTGAAAAGACAAGGTCAGAGCCGCCGGAAGTAGACGTAGCTGCATGGCATAAGGCCCCCGCGTACGAGTGTTGTGCGCGCGCCGCTCATTCCCCCCTCACACGAACCACACCTTTCGGACTAGGGTCTCCCAACAGTGTAAATGGACGTCTGAGCATTGAAGGCGGATCATTCCTTCGTGGAGGGCCGTTATATGACTGTTAGAAGCCTTTTCGGGGTAATTTAAGGTCACAACATACCCACTTTTTCACTTGATGGAGAAGGGGCAGTAAGTCATTTCTCATGGCAAGACGTCCAAATTTTCCTAGGACAGTTTAGATCTTTCCTGGTCTTCCTCTCTGCCACTCTGTTACTATTTGGTCGTCCTGCATCAGGGCTAATTTCTGTTAAGCTAGACCGTCTTTGACTTCATCGAACACTTTTTTCTTTGAAAAGGAGACGATCAAAAGACACTTTTATCCCAGAGGGTACCAGTTAATTGAACTTTTAAAGCCTTACTGTCACCTGAAATACATTCTTTAACCTTCGTCGAGGTGCTTACTCCAGAAAGAAGGTAAGTAAGACATGTGCAGATGCCTGTTATCGATGCGAAAGGTGCTAGCATATAGTTTACACCATTGGTCTTCCTTGCATCGGTCATCGAAATACTCGGTGATACAGGAGTCCGAATAGATGTACCTTTTGTTAATCCTCATGTACAAGGTCAGGTAAACTGTGTAAGTCCTGGATTTGTCAAGATCTGGCCTTGATGGATGGATTATATCACTACAGAGTACTTTTAGTTATTAGCATGGGGTGTTATAGCTTTTTCTCAGACGAATGGAGGTTTCTGTGATTTCCGTCGTGGCTACGGGTCCAAGAAGTGAAAAGTGATGGCTCACGGAGTCACATCCGATGCTTTTCACCGAACAAACTTTTATTTTCGGGGGGGCGGAACAGCAAATAGAACGCTAGTTGTACGAGCTTGGCAATGACGGTTTGTCACGTTATTCGGCATCGTTACGAAAAATGGGTCAGCCAGCGGCACTTCGGTGGAAAGTATTTTTTGTGCGCCACGTGTGTGTTCTGGCCGTCTGGCACCGTTTTTCGACATCATATTCACCCACCTCGCAGTCAGCCTCCACATAAGCCTCACACATGTCACACTCTTCCGAGACAACAAGACTTAACTTGTTTTATGGCCGGAAGCGCTCGTGACTGAATCGACTCGGACAATAGCGCAGGTGGGGGAGTGTCAGTTGTTCCTGTTCGATATTCAATCTGGCGTTCGACGAAGTTGTTTTCTGTCGCTAATTCTGTCCATCCGCACCATTGACTGGATTCTCGACGGAGCCCCACAGGGCCTTGACAGCGTTGTGTTCGCACCGGGCGCCAACTGACTGACGTCGACTACGCTGATGACATGGCTCTGCTAGCCTATATATATATATATATATATATATATATATATATATATTGAAGAAGATGGTAAGGCGAGCTCTGGGGATGATGATTTATTCATCTGACGTTTCACACTCATACTCGAGCGCATCATCGGAGATAGGAAATATTAGAAAATTATACGGTTTAAATAGGTCCCTCTCGCTCTCGCCTGACAGGGCCGTCAACTTCTATCCTCATTGGGCCTCCCCTGGTGCGTAGGTGGTGTTTGGCGGCCTCGTATGGTGCCGGTAGTTCGACGCAGCGGTTGATGGAGTTGGTGTCTGTTTTCCAGGCCTCGATTATTTCTCGCGCCAGTCTGTTTTCCGCTCGGCCGAGCACTTGGGCGCCGTCAAAGTCAAACCGGTGGCCATTTTCTAGACTGTGCATGGCGACGTGTGAGCGCGCATCTTTCCGCTTGACGGCTAAGGTGTGCTCATGTATGCGCGTTTTAAGTCGTTTGTTTGTCATGCCGCAATAGTTGGCCTGACAGTCTAGGCAGTTGACGCGGTAAATGACACCGGACATGTCCTCAGGGGGCAGCCTACCCTTTGGCTGCATGACTAATCGGCGGATGGTGGCTTCCGGTCGGTGTCCAACGCCCACGTTAAGTGGTCTAAGCATACGCTCAGTGGCCTCAGAGACGTTCCTCATGATGAATAAATCATCATCCCCAGAGCTCGCCTTACCATCTTCTTCAATTTCAACACCTGGGGTCAGCATTTTCGCCTACATCCAT